TATGGGCTAGACCCAGTGCTGCCAACTTTTAATTTTCAGAAAGCACCAAAAACTTGGAAAAAAAGCGTTTTACCACACTAAAAGCACCAAATGGTTTTGAATCAATGGATGATTTTTTCATAACAGTTTGTATGTATTTAACAAAATCGAGTCCCAACAAACGAAAATCATGCCCTAAGTAGAAATGAGCAAAAAAAAATTTATGTTTTCATTATATAACCTCAAATATCGCCAAAAACCGTGATTTTGGCACTTTGAGGTAAGGATATCTCATATTTCTAGTGGTAGAGCAATTCTGAGGCCAGATCAGCGTTGCCAGGTTGGCGTTTTTAACGTCATTTGGACGTTTTTTGTATCCTGTTGACGTTTGGACGTTTTTTGTGTAAAAAATGACGTTTTTTAACTTCCCAGTAGTTTTTCTCTGTTATTAAATCTTGTAAGTAGAACAGATTTTGAATTATTTTCTTAATAAATCTTGACAAGCTTTGTTTTTTGCAGCAGCTGCTTCAAAAAATATTTATTCTTTGGACACAGACGACTTAACCCTTATTTAAGCGCATAAAGAAAATGACACAATTATTCGCATGGGGCCCCTTATTGAAAATATAATGAACGTAAAAAGGCTGAAATATTGCTATGTTCCTTCTTAACAGAACGTAATTCGTAACCAAATGTTTACAAGAAAAAAATATATATATATTAAAAATCAACGCGATTCTTTAGCACCTTAAAACTTGCACATTATTGCCCTGGAATTTAATGGGCTATCAACCTGCATACTCAAAAAAATTCTAAAAAAATCTGAATAAAAAGTTGAAAATCTAGCTGATATTTAGCGGATTTTTTATAATTTTTGCACAGTTTGAAATGTGGATTTATATTTTGTTTGTTATATAATGAGCTAGGCTTTTATGGAAAAATAATAAACAAAAAGAAACAGCCGAAATCGATGATTTAAACAGCTGATCACAAGTGTATGTATAAAATGATTTTTATATTAACGATCTCAAACTAGTTTAGAATGAATTTTAAATGTGACAGAGCAAATGACATTTTAATATACCTTACGTACATATGTACCTCTGAATACAATGAAATTTTAATAAGAACAATTCTTTCTGCATACATTTGAAAAAGACGTTTTTGGGTAGGAAATGACGTTTTTTCAGACCAAGAGGGACGTTTTTTCATGCCGAAGACCTGGCAACACTGGGCCAGATTTGGATTCAGCACCAAGAAACGATGTGTTTTACTCAGGAGGTACAAAGATAAAAATTTTTACAAATAATTAGAAAAAAAATAATTACTTAACTTACTTGCATATCTACTAGCATTTTCAACGCGAATAGAATTGAACAAGGTGAATTTGCAAGTTTAGCTTTTTGTCACTCATGGTTGTATTTAAGTGCATTTAAATTTGTAGATTTTTGTAAATTCAGTGCTGCCACAGCTTTAAATATTTAAAAATTATTTCAGGTTTTAACTATATCGGAGTAATTTTAGTTCAGAAAAAGCACTAAAAACGGCATTAAGCACTAAATAATTTTTTTTTGCGTTTTAATCTTCAAAAAGCACTAAATCTAGTGCTTAAAGCACCAAGTTGGTAACTATGGCTAGACCCATTTTCGGATACGGTCTCAAGCAGACCTTGGGCTTGCCCAATTCCGAGAATCCCTGCCTGTTTGCGAACCACCTCCCTGCAGCACCTAGCGGCCACGAATGCATACGGGGGGACTGGGCAACCTTTCGATGCCCTGGGGGACCGCACTAATGATCAGTTGTCCGTAGGTCGCAAATCTGGACCGCCAGTACCGCTGCCGCCCTAAGGCCGAGATCGCTACCGAGGACCGCCCGCAAGCTTTACCGAGGACGAATATTTGTACTCACTGTCATCCAGGGCCGCCGCAATAATCATCATCACCGCTAGGGCCCGTACCGCTGCTCTCATCACCGGTGCCGCTATTACCACTGCCGCCCCAAGACCGAAGCTACAACCGTGGGCCGCCCGCCATCATCACCGAGGACTGCGAACTATCGCCAACCAGGGCCGCTGGCACCGTTGCCACCATCAGGGCCCGCTGCTACAGTCTTCATCACTGGGGCCCGTGCCATTATCGTCGCCCCAGGCCGCCACTACTACCCGTCAAGAGTACGGTAATCGCCACTGCGAACGTCGTCGCCCAGTACAGCTGTCACCGTCGTAGTTAAAAAAGGGCTGCTTTCACCCTTCGCCACAATCAGGGCCGCATACAACACCACTGCGGGAGGTCGCTGCCGACCTCATCATTATATGGGCCACTGCCAACGTCACCGCTAAGGCCGCCACCACCACTGCAAGGGAACTGCAGGCTGCCGTCGCAGCCATCGCGGTCGCCGTCACAACCACCGCGACTGCTCTCATTGCCACGCTCTTCGCTACGACTGACGCGTACCACTGCCAATCTTGCTGTCACTAGTAGCACTACCGTCGCCGTACACTTACCCGCCGAATAATCTCCGACACCGACTGCCGACTCTCTCTCTTTACCTTCCGCTCTCCCCTGCACGACAAGTTGCCGGCCTTCTAGATAGCCGCGTGTGTGTGTTCGACTTAATGCACAAATCATTGTGTTTTATTTGGTGGGGGTTAGTGGGACCTTCGCTGGACTCTGGAGCGGCTAAGCATACCTCAGCCTTCAACAAAACCCACCTCATACTATGAATTAGAATTAAAAAATATATATATATTCTACTCTATTTATTATTTTACTTCTTTGGACGCCCCTCTTTGCCGCCTACGCAGAAAGGTGTTCTCTGCAAAAGATGTTCAGCTCCTTTTCTTCGCAAAACAGGAAAAGAATTCTACTTTGTGAGGGTTATAATCCCTAAGTGCGGCCGAAGGCCTCCTACGCAGAAAGGTGTTCTCTGCAAAAGGTGTTCAGCTCATTTTCTTCGCAAACAGAAAGAGAAGTCTACTTTGTGAGGGTTATAATCTCTAAGTGCGGTCAAAGGCCGCCTACGCAGAAAGGTGTTTTCTGCGAAAGGTGTACAACCCCCCTTCTTTCGCCTGATAACCACCTTGGGATAATTTCTTTTATTTAAAAACCCCACAGATTCGGTTAGTTGGGTTATATTCCTCTTCAAACTGCTCAATTTCCCTCGGTAAATGCCGTTTTTCGCCCATTTTCAAACGGTTCCCTAGGGGTCTGTGAGCTGCGACTTTTCGTAAAGTGGGGGCTGTCCCCTTTCGAATGGAGGGGTTTAGGGGGCCACGCCCCTCCCCTCCGCTGCCCACCCCAAAAACTACCGGCAAATAACTAAACATTTCCCGACGAATTTTGTATGGATAAATGTACATTAGAGTAGCATTTAGGCCCAATTTCAGATGGCCTGCTTAAGTAGAGATTGTTCATTAACATCCACTATTCATTTTCAGATCATACATTTAGGGCCGGTTACTCAATGTCCGGTTAACACTAATCTGTGGTAAAACATCGTTATCGACGCCTACGACTCCATGCATACAACAGGGAGTCGGTAACGTCGATAAGTATGTTTAACCGGGGATTAGCGTTAACCAGACATTGAGTAACCGGCCCTTAATCTGCACTTAAGTGCCGGTTGTTCAATGTCTGATTAGCACAAATCGGAGGTAGAAGCTCCGGTTAAGCACAACTACTGCTTTATCGATCACATGTTACATGCATGATGTCGAAATCGTCGATAGTGTAGTGATAGTGATAACCAGACATTGAACAACCGGCCCTAAATGGCCAATATTGGCTATTTAAATATGAGATATGCAACCCTGTGCTTGTACCAAACAACCACGATTGATTGGTTTAATCAATCCAACCAAATCCCGCCAAAAAACAATTAGCTGTTCAGCACAAAATGTAAACAAACAAGCAAATGCAACAACAATTTCAAGGAACAACCAGCAGTGCTGCCAATTGTTTGGCATATTTAAACAAACACTCCGTTTATGCGACAGAATTCGTGAATTGTTCATTTCATGAATTCAAAAATGGTCCCGTTTATGCATAGTTCGCGAATTCATGAAATAAAATGATTTGAAAAAGTGGCAACGCACTGGCAGAAAAGTACAAAGTAGGGTTGTGATTTTTTTGCCTCCTTTTGAATTTGCAAAAGCCGTTGGTGCCAGGCAATGAACCTTATTTTATTCAAATTGGTTTTAATACATTTTCAGTTTATTCTATTTGAATTCATTTTAAATTTGAACAATTCCACATAACTTTTTCAGTATTTAAAATTCGGGTTCTGCCACTCATGGTTATTATTCTGAAAACATCATAACCCTAGTAAACAGCTGTTTGTGAAACGTGGCGTTGCCGGACTTGCACTTCACGATTTCATGAAATGATGCCGAATTCATGCTTAACTTTCGTGTATAACTGAATTCATGAAATGGTGTTATGCAGCCAATTTTAACTCAAATTCATAAAATGAATTCGTGAATTAGCCTACGCATAAATGTAGTAAAAGTTGATCTAAAACACAACGAAAGCTAAATGGGATTTAAACAACAATTCACAATTAAACTTAAGTGCTGTGTAAATATTCATTTGAGCTAAATGCGCTAAATATGCTTTTACGCGTAAGCAAAAACAGCCCATAAATAGGTTCATTCCTTATCTTTTTGGACTAAAATCTGAAAAGTGTCAAAATGCCAGAGCGTAAGCAAAATGCGCTCACTAAAAGAGAATAACAGGAAAAGTAAAGGAACGCAAAAAACCAAATTTTTAGTCCAAAGAATGGCAACAACGCCAAATAAGAATGGAAATGTATGTACAAAACACAGTCACACAAGCAAAATAAACACTTACTATATCAATTATTTTTTGCCTCCTTCCAATTTCAATTCACTTTTTTACTTTTTAGATTATTCTCACTTTTTGCATATTTAATTTTAATTTCCGTTAATTTAAATTTAGTTGAGTTTGACACTTTTCAGGATTTTGCCAGAAAAAATTCTTCTGACTAAAGTTGTGTTTTTTTACAAATTATCCAGTAACTTGCCAGCAACTCTCCAGTAACTAAATTTCTAAGAATTCGCTCTCAGGTAAAAAATTTACAAAAAAGTACATGAACGCTTTTCCAGTAATAATTTGCAAGTTTCATGAACAGCTGATAAATTTGGGTGTTTATTCGCAGCATATTCCTAATAAAACAATATATTTTAAATTTAAATATGTTTATTTTGTGAATTTCCACTATAAAATGCCACAAACAGTTTCCTTATTAGTTTAAATTTCATCCAGCAACATGCGATCAGCTGTTTTTCGTACTGGCAAATTCTTACAAGTAAAAATTTATCCAGTAAAATCCAGTAAAAACTTACAACTTCAGCTGTCATTTTTCGCTCTCTCGATTTCCCCTACTTTGCAAGTTTTTGCGTACGAAAACGCCAAAACATGAAAATTCGTAAAAACTTTTACTGGATTTTACTGGAAATGAGTAAAAAAACGCAACTTAAATCTGACTACTTCGGACTGATGAGAGTCTCTCTCACTGGGTGTTGCTCTCTCATTTTAGCTGTAATTTCCGAGTTAAGGAACGCTTTTTGGACCAAATCTGACTACTTCGGACTTTTTCTGACTATTTCTGGGAGATAAGGAACGCTCCTCATGTATTTTTAGAGTAGCATTTAGAGCTAAATGCGCGTAAGCAAAAACAGCCCATAAGTTTTGCGCTTCCGATACAAGTACTTTTTTTTCGATACCTACTTGGGACGCAGTAAAAAATATTTGGGGTGTTCACAGTTCGTTCCAAATTGTGTCTGAAAATGTAGACGTCTACATTTTGAGACATCTTTAGCATCAAACTGTGAGCACCCCTTTCTAGCAGTCGTCGCAAAATCGTCTCAAAACTTTGCTGGTGTTGCCAGACATTTCTTCTTTGCGTGCTTTTTTATATGTCGCCTTTCGATTTTGTTTCTGAAAAATTGTAATTATTTAACTTAATTACCAATTCCTAATATTTGTTATTTCTTTGCATCGATTTGTTTCTTTTCATCAGAAATTGCGCTCAAATTAAATGCAAATACAGAAAACGTGCCCAATAAATAAAAAAAAATGCGATTAGTATTGCCATAATGCAACCCTGCTGCGAGGTTGCAAAATGTAGACGCGTAAAAAACATATCTTTGAGTGTGACAAATTGTAGACGGCGTCGTTTTCCAATTTTGTATGGGAAACAACAACACCACAGATTTTACGGTTAGAAAACGTCTTAAAATGTAGACGTCTACATTTTGAGACACTATTTGAAACGAACTGTGAACACCCCAATTGAGTACAAAAATACTTGGTAAATTGAGAAAAGTATCGAGTATGTACTTCGATTTACTTGTATCGATTGATCCCTATCTAAACCTCTGCATCTCAAATTAAATTGCACGTGAAGTTTGTTTTGTTGAAAATATTGATTAGGTAAAAGTATATAATACAAACCGTCATTTGTAATATCAATTATTATTATTGGCGTCAAGACGGGTCGATTGATACTATCGAATTTTTCCGTCCATTTTGACCTGTTTCCGCTAAAGTGCACTACTACTATTGATTTTGACTAAGATTGAGAACCAACTTAAAAAACAAAGAATAAAACAATATGTTTCGTATGCCTCCACAAATTGACCCGGCTGAAGAAAAGAAGCGAATCCAGGCTGATGTTAGAAACAACATTGTTTTCTTTGCAGTGCTTTGCGCTGCTATCCGATTAGGTTAGCACGTCGCATAATTATTTAATACAATGTATTATGGGTTTTATTTCTTTATACATTCTTAACGTTTGGAACCAACCTTGTCGTTTATTTGTTGGAACGTTCTGGATAATATGTTGATATACATTCCTAGCGTGTTCAGCGAGATTGGGTTATCTGGAATGTATAAAGAAATGCAGCCAATGTGTGTACATAACTAACTTGATTCTTTATTTTGCAGCACCCTTTGTGTTGGGTAAAATAAAAGCCTAGTATTTGGCCCAATTCAGCGAATTACGGAGCCTGTATAGTACACATCATTAAAAGCGAAAAATGAAAGCTTTAAAACCCAGATTAATTTAGTATACCTATGTTAAATTAAAAATTGTAACTTGTTTTGACATAAATGCAGTGTAGCGGCCGTTGAGGGTAAATAAAAATTAAAATTTGAAAGGTGTAAACCTTTGTTTGGAGGTAATTGATTTGGTCGGAGCTGAAGGGGGTAAAGGTGGAATTTTCAATATTTTCAAATGTTTATACTTCCAAAACTATTGCACCGATTTTAAAAATGTGGATATGGTTGGAAAGGTAATAGACCTTTTATTTGATATGCATATCTTTGTAAACCCCCTATTACGAATTCGTACGATGCACGATATACGCTTGCATTCTCAAATTCTCTATTACGAATCGATGTTGTATGAAATCCGATAATTAGCGTAGCTGATTTGTGCTGGTTCACAATAAGAAGTGAACAAAAACCACAGCCATCCACAGGAATACATCTGTCGGGCGTATGAAAACGATAATACGAGAACTGATTTTGTACGATACGCTTGCAAGCGTTTATCGTCTATCGTATGAAAATTCATAATAGGGGGATATTTTATATGCATATTTCGAGAAAAATTAAAAAACCGGAATTATAACCATTTTTTTAAATAAAAATGTACATTTTTCTAAACAACTAACTATATTAAGCGCTGTATTTATTAGAAAGAGTAGAGAAATATCTTTAAATTGATATGTTATTTTATATAGGCCCTTATTATGAGCTGCATTCGATCTTCGCTGGCTATCGAAAGTGAAATTCATATTATGAGCTATGCAAGCGTGTCGAAATTTTCGTTGAGTATCGAATTTTCTGTCTGTCGAACAGAATTTTGCTTTCGATGGTGTAGCGAAGTGTTAGAAAATTGCGAAAAATGTATGATTTTGTATATGTTTTCTTACATTTTGGCGGCTAGACACTAATTTTAAACAATTTTTATTAATTTCATGCAGTTATAACATCGTGAATACTAAACACAAGCTCTAAAGGCAGGTTTTACTTGTGAAAGAAAATCCCAATACTCTGTTGGCACGATCTCTGAGAACCAAGTCGTAGCGCTGTTGATAGTTTTAAAATGTTTTAAATAGATTTGGCTCACAAACGCCTCTTTATATGGCCGGAACTTTTTAATCAAACTGTAGACAAATTTCTTAAATATTTTTATATCAAAATATATTCGAAGGACTAATAAACTTAAACTCTCTTAAACATTTGATACTCCTGGCCAGCTCTCATCCTCTGACGAATCGTCGAACTCGTTGTACTCATTTTACCACGTTTTTATAAACTCGCTTTCTTTTTTAATTCATTTTAATTAGAACAAATTTACATAAATATGTATAAGCATACTATTTAATTTGATTGATTTGTAAACAAAGCTTCTCAGCGGTGAAAAATATATTATTGTGAACAACCTAAACGAGCGAAATTCACAATAGCGCTATTCTTCATCGAATGAGCACCATTATACCAAATGAAAATTCGTTCGCTCAGCACTTTCGACCTCAGTCGAAAATCGAATGCAACTCATAATAGGGGCCATGATTCAATAATACAAGGTTCGATAAACTGACAGTTGTCTCTCTCGCACCGCTCCCTTAGCAGTGACAAAGTGTTGCTTCTTTGCAAATTTACTTGGAAAAAGTGTTGCTTTGCGGTGAAATAGAAGTATAAGCTTTTGTGCAATATGTTCATTTGTATATGTATATGAAGCACATTTAACTGATGAACACATAAACTGCTTTTAAATTGGATGTTTACATAAATCTCATAGTAGTTTTATTTTAATTTTGAGACTTTTTGCAGTTTTTATACGGCTAAATAACACAAAAATTGCGTAATTCACGTAGATATATTAAGTTTCGTTTAAAATGCTAGATTTCCTGCAAATACATTAGAATTTACAAAAGGAATCTCACTACTAATTGCCTACTTTGCGTACTTTTCTACTACCAATTTCGCACAAAGAGATTTCATTCTTCCCCTTTCTCCGTCCTTCGTAAATGCAACCTTTTGTAAGGGAGTGTCAAACCGCAGCTGTCAATAATTATCTAACCTTGTATTATTGAATCATGAATAGGGGCCATAGTCAGGCCATGATTCAATTATTAAAGGTTTTGTAAGTAGCTATTTTCTAAAATTTGGCACTCCCACCCACAGGGATGGTTTTTGGAAGCAGGAGAAAAAGGGGAAGAATTCAATCACACTTCCTAAAAAGTTGCGAAATTCTACAAAAAGGCGTCGATAATGGTGCATCGTGGTGTTTTAATACAAAAACGAATTTGATTTATTTAGTTAATTTAAACCAGCTTATTTACATCAAATACAACCCCTGATTATTATTAAAAATAAATTTTGCTATGAATATACCAAAGTTGCGTACGTCAGACGGCGCAAAACTCAAGAATGGAAGGTCCCCTTAGAGCTATTTTTCTATTCTTTGTCTGCCTTGTAAATTCTTTGCGGTACCATTTACATTAGATAGATATGAAGAAGCTATTTGTTTGTGGAAAAGTTATGGTGTTTTGATTGAAAAACGCCAAATAAAAACATTTGGAGCTTACGATTCTTTCGCGATTATGGCTCGATTGCTTCGAATATGGGTGTTTCCATACAGCCGTACGCGACATACGCTTATAGAGTAACGTAGATCTATCAAAAATAGGAGTTACAGAAAAAAGAAGATTACGGTTATGTTTCAACGAAAGGGTACTATGTTTGAGAAAAATATAAGCAGCCTCGAAACTTTGGTGGGGAAAATATCCGTTCAAAACCAGGTGATAACGTACGCGACAAAAAAGAAGTGGTTTTAAGGCACATATACATATATGCGAAAGTCTGCGAATCATGAGAGTTTTTCTTTTCTTTAAAAATTCCTACACTAAGCTAAATAATGTACATTTACAATTCTTTCATTGTTTGATAGAAATTATTATTATGGACGCGGTTTGCTAATATTATATTGCGTCAAAGTCTCATTCGGAGACACCAGCAGCCGGATTCCAGCATTCGCTATCGCTAATTTTGATCGCTAAAGGTCTCCAAAAGAATAGCAGGCGCGCTTAACAACATGTAACGTTTAGTTACATGCCCCTCATACTGCCAGATTTGCCTGATTACACTTTGCTTCTGTTACTTTTCAATATTGCGCACTTTTAGGCCCCGCGGTTGTTAATTTAGAGAATTTTAGCGATGGAAATGTAGCATAGCGATTGTCAGAATTCCACTGCAGGATTGTGTTGTGTAGGTCAATACCTAAATATCTTCGTTGGCTCATTTACCAGAACCATTGCGCGCTTTACTTTACAGCGCCTTGGCAGAATCAATAGGTCTCCACGAATATCGGCAAAGACATTTCGGCAATTAAGGGAATTTCGTCTCTTTAGCCTGCATTGAATTTCTGTAATCCACCCATTTCGTCTGGTTGTCGCAAGCGAATGAAGAACAAACATTTCTTCAAAATTTAAAAAGTAAAAGTTTCACTACTAAAAATTTAAAAATGTTCTTAAAACCTGCAAAGAAATTTGGAAAAGAAATATCACTGTTTTTGTTTTTGGGAGTAGGGTGGGAGTGTCATTGATAAAATTAGAGCGAGAGAAAGTTTTTCTTACAAAACCTTTCATTATTGAATCATGAGTCAGGCTACGGACTCGAATTTCGATACGATACGATACCATATCGATACTTTTGGCTTTCGATATCGATATTTTCTACTCGATAGTTTTAAAACGATCTTTTATGGAATCGAGTACCAGAACCCTAGTATCGTATCGAATGGCATAAACTCACTTTACAAGGATAATGGCCCGTAGTCATAGTCAAAATAAAGTCGACTTTAAAGTTAGTTGCAGCTTTTTGACATAATTTTCAATGGGATATCTGTCAAAAAAGCTGCAACAAACTCTTTAGAACGGTTTAATTATTGCTTTGACAAGATAACGGTTGAATTTATCGTGTTGCCATTTGGCTACGTACTGCTTATATGATTTCGTACATTTGCTGGTGGGTTTTGCCAAATGTGAGCAATTTTTCGCGTTTTCTAGTGCAAGCGTTCACTCTTCTAGAACTCTTGAAGTGTGTACATATACTTGTGATTTATTTTTACAATTAAATAAAAAGTTTTGTGTGGATTTATTTCTTGTTGACTTTAAAAAGGGTAAGTATTTGTGCAATAAACGGTTGATAATATCATAATCATCATAATAAATCGCTATAAAAAGCTTTGATGTCAATTGGCTACATTGTGCGAATAACAAAGCAGATTTGATCAAAGTTAGTAACTGTTTGATTTGTCGTTTTAGCTCTCACTTACAGAGAAAATAAAATATTTGCAACATGAATAAGGCGTTCAAATCAGTAGAAGAGTTGGCGCAATATTTTATGAAATATAATAGGGAAGAAAGTGAAGATGAGGAAAACGCGTTTGATGATAACAGTTTGGAAGACCCTGATTTTGTACCAAATGTTTTGCAAGATTTTGATGATGAAGATGAAACGGATCCATCTCCACCTCAAACGGCTTCTCGGACTGATAATGAAGACTTGCCGTCCTGTTCTCATTCTGTATTGCAAACTCAAAGCCAAGTGAAAAAAATATTATTTGGAAGAAAAAGCATCTGCAATTAAATGAAGCTCAGTTACATTTTCATGGAAACTCGGATATTGAAGGTGAATTACTCAATTTGGAAACGCCGTATCAATTCTTCTGCTATTTTTTTTCTGAAGACCTGATAATGAATATTGTCCAGCAAACAAATTTATATAGTGTTCAAAACAATCCGGAAAAACAAAATATATATTGCGCTTCTGATATAAAACAATATTTCGCAATTGTTTTGTATATGTCACTTGTACATGCCCCAATATAAGATCATATTGGAGTGATGACCTGGGATTTCCCCAAATCAAAGAATTAATGCCAGTAAACAAGTTCGAAAAATTGCGACAAAACATGCATTTCAATGATAACACCACATTTGTGCCAAGAGATCAACCAGGACATGACAGATTACACAAATTGAGGTTATAGATCATCTGCTATTTAAATTCAAAAGCATTCCCTTGGAAAAAGAACTATCTATTGATGAGCAAATGTGCTCAACAAAAGTGAGGCATTATATGAAGCAATACATGCC